CATAAACTGCAAATTTTCTTGTTTTATGACCTATATTTTTATTTTCTTATGTCAAATTTTACGTAGTGAATCAATAAGAATATAACTATTTGAATTCCACACGTAATTTAATTATGAAATGATCGTAAGATTACCTCGGGTGAAGAAAACTTATTCTGCATCCTGGGTGATGAATCGCGCTATTCGTCACCCTGGGTGAGGAATTGTTATTCTTCACCCCCTTTATTTTACCATCAATGCACCGTAATTTTACGTTCCGTAAGTTTTGTCTTATTTCCGACGCAAAAAAGGACCGTAAGAAAATATATAATCGCCGTTAAAAAATATTTTATGTTATGTAAAATTACAAACGTAAAAACATAGTCTAAAATACACATAAACTGCAAATTTTCTTGTTTTATGACCTATATTTTTATTTTCTTATGTCAAATTTTACGTAGTGAATCAATAAGAATGTAACTATTTGAATTCCACACGTAATTTAATTATGAAATGATCGTAAGATTACCTCGGGTGAAGAAAACTTATTCTGCACCCTGGATGATGAATAGCACTATATATATACTACTCTTTTCAAGAGAATTTAAAATATATGCAAATTTTCAAGAGAATTACTACTACATACTACTCCTTCGTCTCATAATATAAAAGCCTTTTTTACACTAACTAGTACTTCCTCTGTTTTTAAATATTTATCTTTTCAAATATTTCAAATGAACTGCCACATACAAATGTATATAGACATATTTTAAAATATAGATTCACTCATTTTACTTCATATCTACTAGTTATTTATTGAAATCTCTAGAAATACAAATATTTGGGAGCGGAGGGAGTAGATGATTTTGCACGAACTCTGCTGGAAAGAGCTGCATTTCCGTGGGAACAAAACCAAAAAAACCGGCGGCTTTGTGCCACAGGCAGCGCATAGGGCCCACGAGACAGAGACGCTAACCAAGTCGCCCGTGTACATACATTAGCAAGCAGCTTTGTTGTTTAAGCCATCAGCCTGCTATACGACACGAGTGGGCGGACGGCGACGTTGGCGAAGAAGACGAGAGCAGGGCAGGCACCCAGCAACCAGCTAGCTAGCCGGCAATGGCGCTGCCGGCGCCGAGGTGGCTCCGGCGGGAGGTGCTCGTGGGGCTCGCGCTCGGGCAGTTCGTCTCGCTGCTTATCACCTCCACCGGCTTCTCCTCCTCCGAGCTCGCCCGCCGAGGTACGTGCGCGTTGCCGGACGGCTACTCCGCCGTCTACTCCGCAATGCCATTTTGCCTGGTCTACTTATGGATTATCTTGGTATTTGACATTAGTTAGGACCTAGCTTGACAGGGAATTGCCTCTGTCACCATTCATAATTTCGTGACAACATCTACTCCCTCTGTTCACTTTTGTAAGACGTTTAAGACAGCTGAAATTGAACTGTTTTAGGTGTTGTCTTAAAAGCATAAAACGTTTTACAAAAGTGAACGGAGGGAGTACTGAATTCTAGCACACCACTCTGAAAGAAACTCTGAACAAAAGGAAAAATTATTGGTTCCAGTTCTCATGTGTTTAGGCCAAAAAGGAAAAATTGTAGTGCAACACGAGCATTTATTTGGCTTATCGCTTATTCTCGTTTGCTTCTGTTCTCTGCTACCCTCTGTGAGCAAAAATGGAAGATGGTTAAACTGCGAGTGGAGGCTTGCAGTGTTATGATCATGCCTGCTTTTTCAGGCGTCAATGCGCCGACGTCGCAGTCCCTGCTGAACTACATCCTCCTCGCGCTTGTCTACGGAGGAATTATGATTTACAAACGGCAACTTCTGACGGTACGTATGGTGCCGCCTTTTACTGTCCAAAAGAGATGCTTCGATGCTAACTTGGTTCAGATTTTAATCCTGACAAGTGAATAACAGCCATAATTTGCTATACCCAGTTCTTATGCTCTAGTAAAATGAAATCTCCAAAAACCCAACTGGATTTTTCCTGATTTTCTGCGTGTGCGATGCGCGTTTAGTGCATCTTATCCCCCCTGTTGCCCAGGACAGGGATAGCTATGCATATTCTGATTCTGCTGCTCTTCACAAGTTGTTCATGCTGTTCCTTCATCACCAAGTTGTCCATGCGGCGAGACGCAACGACGCAAAAAATCGTGAATGTTCCTATCAGCAAAATCCCTGAAAACGAACGTTTTCTTCCACATTCTGTTTTCTGCAGGTGAAATGGTACTACTACTTGATCCTCAGCATCGTCGACGTGGAGGCTAACTACATCGGTACGACCAACGCAGCTACCGTTACTGAAATCAATGATATCTCAGTTCATCTAGTTTTTCATCACAATGGGTAATCAAGGCGCTGAAATTGGCTTTGCTTTTTAACTGTTCATTCATAAAAGTCGTGAAGGCTTACCAGTACACGTCCCTGACGAGCGTGATGCTCCTGGACTGCTGGGCGATCCCCTGCGTCCTCTTCCTCACCTGGATCTTCCTCAAGACGAAGTACGGGCTGAGGAAGCTGTTCGGCGTCGGGATCTGTGTGGCTGGCGTCGTGCTGGTGGTCTTCTCCGATGTGCACGCCTCTGAACGAAAATCAAGTAAGAACAATAATATCATATGGGAGTCTTCAGTCCTCACACAACTATCACAATTGAGGGGATTACGCCGCTGGTAGCTTACAGCTCCAACTCATGTAAATAGTTCTAACATTACATGATCTTGGAATGTCCTGCAGAAGGACCCAGCCCCTTGAAAGGTGATATGCTTGTCATCGCCGGGGCCACGCTTTACGCCGTCAGCAATGTCACCGAGGTATCAACAAAACGTCATCTGTCAGCCCAAGTGTATGTACATGGGTGGAAAATACATTGAAGGTTTGGTTTCTACAACATTTCAGGAGTATATTGTCAAGAAAAGCAGCAGGATTGAGGTGATGGCGATGCTAGGTGTTTTTGGAGCAATTATAAGTGGCATACAGATGTATCCTTTGGCTTATTGCAATCATGAACTGTACTTTCTTCGGTGGCGCTTCAACTTAATTTGACAGATAAGAGAAGAAACTGTATTTTGTTGGCAGTCAAGACACATCGAACTACATATATTGATGTGAGGACTGAGGACCAAGGAAGTAGTGAAACCGGAAAGTTTTAGGCTATAAACCTTACCGTTTTGTTGAACTTTCTGTTACCTAATATGCATTTTGGAAATTGGAATGCTACACCCTTGACATTACAACAGAAGCATACTTGAGCGGGAAGAACTTAGATCGACGGAATGGAATGCCAGCGCAGTGAGTCTCCTGAGCTTTAGTCATTCCAATTTGGGGTCATCAAACTGAACCAACCACAGTCATAGACAATTACAGGATTTCTTTTTTAGGGACAATTATTGTTTCTTTGTCTGAACTTTAGATTCTAACTAATAGTAGAGCACAGAGAAAATGAAGTATGAACTTGTTGGAATGTTGTTGGGCCATACAAAACCTTCCAAATCTTATCAGAGGTTGAATGTTAAGCATCTGTCATCCAACTGAAAACTTTGCTATATCCAAACTTCCAGTGGATGCCAGCAAATTTCAAGGCATTGCAGCATGCTATTAGAGATTCACCACGCCGATAATATGTAATCAAAATTATAGTTGTGACACTGACCTTCTGTATCCTTTCAGGTGCTCCCTTTTATTGGATTTGCACTAGCAATGTTCCTGTTCTACTCCACAGTGCCTATTATCCTGAAGGTAGATCACTATTCTCTTGTGGTCAAATTCATGACTGTCCTGAAATATTTTTGCTAGAGTTCAGTTCATATTTGATTTGTTTCAGATATGTGGCGCAACCATGCTGAACCTATCACTTCTGACCTCCGACATGTGGGCCGTTCTAATCCGTATCTTTGCTTACCATGAGAAGGTTTGTGCACACCCAATTCTATCTTGGGACAGGGGATTTTTTTTTTCAGATTCCTTCTTAAAATTGATTTGTTTACTGTGGAATTCACGCGTTTCAAACAAGGCCCTAACTGAACTGATGGGAGCAAAAAAATTGGGCATCTGCAGGTCGATTGGATGTACTTTGTTGCTTTTGCTGGCACTGCAATTGGTCTCATCATCTACTCATACAAGTACTGTTTTCTTCAGCTGATGCCCCCCCGTAAACATTCATGATAGCTACTACCTGCATCTACCCTGACAGTGTCACAAGCTCACAACTGACCACTAGAACTATTGCAAGCAGGGGCTCCAGGGAGGCTGCCGAGGACACTGCACAGGTCGCAGGCGCAACTGACGAGGAGGCAGCGACAGAGAACCGCATGGCAGAGCGAGTTCCTGGTGCTGGAGAAGATGATGGACCAGACTCAAACAAGTCCCCGTCGGAAGCAGCTACCTCAAGGTAGCAGGTGACCGTCTGCTGCCAACTTGGCATGTGACTGAACATGTATAAAATAGGATTATGAGTTTTCACAGGTTCACTGCACAGGGTGTATACTGGTTCATTCTACAATTGTTATGTAAACATGGAGCAATAATGGTATTGGTAAAGGTTTTGTGATCTTTTGCTAATCATGAGTTGAGAACTTTGTCAAATTTGAAAAACTCAAGAAGTCATTCCAGATTTAGCAAATGAAGGATATCTGAACTGGACAGCAAATTCCGCATGCTGGGACTGAACCATCAAAGTAGCTCGCAATTCGAAGCATCACCAAAGATGATACTGCACAGAAAAAATTGATACACATCCAGTGATGAAAACCAGATTGTTAAATAGCAAACATGTCTGAACATTGATGGACTTGTTAACAAACCATTAATTAGCTATTTAGCTATTCTCACACTGTTTTCCTGACATAACTAATATCCTGACAAACCATCCACTGAACTAACAAAATGTAGAACTGTAACACGCCACTCACAAAGACTGCATTAGTAACAAATATCTAGACACAGTGAAATGTCATAATTTTTTCTATCCAGTATCCAGGAAGCTTCAAACTGGTCACGAAACATAAATCATTGGTATTGACCTCAATCAGAGCTCACATCAACACCTCTTTTTGATAGGAAATCCTTTGCCTCCATGATATCCTGCATAGTTGGTCGAGCTCAAAGAATTATAAATGGGAAGAAAAAACATGTGATGTACAGAAAACTTCAAAGTTTCAAGATCAGGTGGCTTGGTTTTCTTTGTAGTGACCATTATGAAAATTCATACAATGATACACATAAGGTACAAATAAACTTATGAAGTTTTCAGAGTTTGCCTTGTTTCCTTTCTGCATAATACCTTGAATCTCGTTATGCCAGCAGAAAACCAAGAGAAAAGATAATAGACAATGCACAGGTGTGGAACTAAAACAGGAAATAACAAAGGATGCAAGTTCTAGAGACTACTAGCTTTCAAAATGGAAATAAGACTGCAGACAAAAAGGAAAATTAGGCTGCTAGGACTACGTCAGCTACCTGCTGTAGTAATACCACTTCTTGAGGGCAGGTTGGGAAGAACATGAGCCCATATCCAACCATAAAAAGGCCATAGCATCCAAGCGCCACTACCAAGTAGATGGGAAGCTACAACAACAAAAGCCACAAGCAAACATCATAATTAAAAGGAGCATGTCTTCATGACATTAGGAGTGAAAATTTTTAATGTCACTCACCAACCAAGTAAAACTGCGAGGGACTGTCGAGGTTTCAAGGAGCGCAACCCAGACGGCGGAGATTGCCGCCAGCACCGCGATGATCTTGAATATGTGCTTCATCTAAAAATATAGCGCTCGTCTGCCATTAATCAAAAGAGCGAATGAGAACTAGCACGGCCAGTTTACGTCCTGATTTCCTAGAGCAGGCAGTAGGCCGTCAGGTAAACTGTAGCAGCATCTATTATATCTTCATATTTTGCCTACTGGCTGAACAGAGACTCTGACTTGTGTTACTGGAACATGTACAATACAGTTTCTAGGAAATATTTTTGATTAAGTTCCGAGCTAATTAATTAGATATATACCACCCGTACAGTACATAATTACATTGGATTATACATAAAGAAACTATACGCTGTAGCTATCTAGCAGAAATTCAATACATGTCTTGATTGTAAATCTAACACAGAAACAATTTTATGTGCTGCCCACTAGAACAGGATCATGAATCCAGCAACAATTGAGCACCAATGTTACTCCCTCTAGCTACAACCAGATCGAGAAATCGTACAGAAGCACTAATTCCATCAGAGGCAAAAGTACAGACGCTAGTACACCAGACGGATCCATCCAACCCAAGTTAACCAAGAATCAAGAGGAGACGGGGAAGGAGGGAGATCGCTTACGGGGCTGACGCCTGTGGACTGTGGCGGTGCTGACGGCGAGGAGCGAGATCTCGTCGACCTTGGCGTGGAAGACGGCGAGCTGCGACGAGGAGCCGAGGTTGAGGCGTCGGAGCTGGTTCGCGGGCGGAGGCGAGGGCGACTCCGAACCCGCGCTGGATCCGCGTGTGGCTGCCCGGCTCGTACAGCGCTGGCGTCTCCCCGCGGCCGGCGACCGATGTGCAGAGGTGGTTGTCCGGGACGGGGCGACGGCGGCGAGGCCTTCTGGGCTCTGCTCGCTGCTGGGCCGGGCCTGCGTGAGACGGATGCTATCTGAGCCCACGGGCTCAGACCGCTGCGGAGTCGTCCGGATTGAGCCCCTATTCTCTGTATTGTAGAAACACAGATTGAAAGAGGTAGGGTAGAAGCACTTGCTGTAACTTTGGGTTATAACAATAGTTTCGCTATAGATAGCCAAGGGAGGAGTGGAGGCATTGGTATTTTTGAAACAACTCAATAAAAATGGAGATTTTGGGTTACTCTGTTTACCATATTGATTGCTCGATCCAAGAACCCGGAAAAGATCCGTGGCGTCTTACTTGTGTGTACGGGGAAGCGCAAACTCATATGAGACACCAAACGTGGACAGTGCTGAAAAATATTAGTAGCCTAAGCGCCCTGCCATGGCTTTGCATCGGTGATTTTAATGAGGTCCTACATCCGGATGAACACGAAGGGGTGGGACAACGCAGCAACGCCCAGATTCAGGGTTTTCGAGACACTATTGACGTGTGCATGTTGATGGATTTGGGGTATAGAGGCCGCTTCTGGACTTTCGAGAAGAGAGTGGCCGGCGGCACTTTTACCCGTGTCAGATTGGATAGGGCCCTGGGGTCGGCGGAGTGGAGTGCCCAGTTTCCACTAGCAAGCTTGTCCCATCTAACAGCTGCAACATCGGACCATTGCCCTATTTTCTTGGAGATAAACGACAGTAATACGCCTCCGGGACGAAAAGATTTTCGGTATGAGACCATGTGGGAAACTCACGAGAATTGGCAGGAAACCATCATGGAAAAATGGAGCTCCAAACATTCGGGACACACCGTCGCGGAGATTAGACGCAAACTGGCTGGCCTAGCTACAGATCTGTCAAGATGGAACCGGGATACTTTTGGCAGCGTGCGGAAGGAAATACGAGCATTAAAGGTAGAGTTGGACCGCTTGCGTGGAGACCCATCGCGGACTGGACCTTCACATGTGGAAATAAAAATTAATGACAAACTGGTGGAGCTGTACCACCGGGAGGAGTTGATGTGGCGACAAAGGTCCAGGATCGAGTGGCTTGCTGCGGGAGATAAGAACACACGGTTTTTTCATCTTCGAGCCAGTATCCGACGCAAAAATAATATGGTTAAGGCTTTGGCATGTTCATTGGGAGTGCTCATCGATGATCCAGGAGAGCTAAGAGAGATGGTTAAGGACTTTTACCAAACTTTGTACACATCAGAAGGAGTCATTGGGCTACAGGAAGTTATGGCGCATGTCCCTGTTAAGGTGACGGCAGGTATGAATGAGACTCTTTGTGCTCCGTACACGAACGAAGAGGTAAAGATGGCTCTTTTCCAAATGTTTCCAACGAAGTCACCAGGACCGGATGGGTTCCCGGCTCATTTTTACCAGAGACACTGGCCCATATGCAGAGAGGAGATCACGAGAGCGGTCCTCAGAATTGTTAGAGGGGAGGAAAGTGCGGAGAGTATTAATGATACTGTTTTGGTGCTAATACCAAAGGTAATGAACCCAACTCTGCTATCTCAGTTTCGTCCAATAAGCTTGTGCAATGTCCTATACAAGATTGCTTCAAAGGTGGTGGTGAACAGACTAAAGCAAATACTCCCTGACATCATCTCTGAGGAACAATCAGCGTTCGTCCCGGGAAGGCTAATTACAGACAATATCATATGTGCATATGAGTGTCTACATTTTATGAAGCGGTCTAGAGCAAAGACTAATAGCACATGTGCTCTCAAGCTGGATATGATGAAAGCATATGATCGTTTGGAATGGCCATATTTGAGGGCTATTATGGCCAAGCTGGGAATTGCACAGACATGGATTGACATAGTGATGAATATGGTATCTTCTGTTTCTTTCTCAGTTCTTTTCAATGGAGAGAAATTAGAGCAGTTCAAGCCTACAAGAGGCATTCGACAGGGAGACCCTATCTCACCTTACCTGTTTTTGATTGCAGCGGAGGGCCTTTCGTGCCTTTTAAAATCTTGTTCTCAGTCATCAGTGCTTGGAGGAATCAAGGTGGCACCAACGGCCCCGGCCGTAAACCACCTCTTGTTTGCAGATGACAGCCTGCTGTTTTTTAAAGCAAGTGTTGAGGGTGCGGAAGCGGTGTCAAACCTATTGAATTCTTATTGTGGAGCCTCGGGTCAGCGAGTAAACAATGATAAGTTCACAATCTTCTTTAGTAGAGGATGTCCGCAGACTACTCGTGACAGTGTGAAACTAGCTGTCCAAGTCCATAAAGAATCGTTAAGTGACAAATATTTGGGGATGCCAACAGATGTGGGTCACTCAAAGAATGGCACTTTCAAATATCTTCGAGACCGTGTATGGGAGAAGGTCAAGGGGTGGATGGAGAAGCTCCTTTCTGCAGCGGGGAAGGAAGTCTTAATCAAATCTGTTGCTCAGGCAATCCCGGTTTACTCTATGGCCTGCTTCAGGTTACCAAGGGGGCTTTGTGAAAACATTACATCCACCATAAGGCAGTTCTGGTGGGGCAGTAAGCAAGGCAAGAGAAAACCAGCGTGGGTATCATGGGAGATCATGACAAGACCTAAATACATGGGAGGCTTGGGGTTCCGCAATCTCGAGATCTTTAATCTTGCTTTACTGGCGAGGCAAGCATGGAGAGTGATAAACAATCCGAACACACTTAGCTCTTTAATCCTGAAGGCCGCATATTTTCCTAACACAGGGCTGCTTGAGGCCGAGCTGGGTGCGCACCCTTCACAGATTTGGCGTGCTATTATTGATGGAAGAGATATAATGAAGCAAGGAGTCATAAGGAGGATCGGGACGGGAGAGAGCACGATGATCTGGGAACACAATTGGATCCCGCGGCAGGAATTTCTGAGGCCTATAACCTCGTTGGTTGCCAATCCTCCCACCCGAGTGCATGAGCTGATCGACCAAACAACGTCTACATGGAGAGTGGATCTGGTTGGCATGGTGTTTATTCCCATTGATGCGGAAGCCATACTCAAGATTCCCTTATGTACAAGGTGTTGGGGAACGTTGCAGAAAACAAAAAATTTCCTACGGTTTCACCAAGATCCATCTATGAGTTCATCTAGCAACGAGTGATTGGATTGCATCTACATACCTTTGTAGATCACGCGCGGAAGCGTTCAAAGAACGGGGATGAAGAAGTCGTACTCGACGTGATCCAAATCACCGGAGATCCTAGCGCCGAACGGACGGTACCTCCGTGTTCAACACACGTACGGTCAGCATGATGTCTCCTCCTTCTTGATCCAGCAAGGGGGAGGAGAGGTTGATGAAGATCCAGCAGCACGACGGCGTGGTGGTGGATGCAGGGCGTCACCGCAGCAGGGCTTCGCCGTTATACTGCGAGAGGGAGAGGTGTAGCAGGGGAGAGGGAGGCGCCAAGACACAAGGGTG